ATGTCGAAGCCGCCGTTCATGTGGAACAAATTGCCTCCCAAATCGGCGCGCGGTTGACCCAGTGAGAACACAACACGAATACGATCTGGCAGATTGCGAGTTGCCTCACGAATGCGACTTCTCGCCTTGATGTGGTATGGCGCAGATTTGAAGATAACCACAAGATCGTAGATGTCCTTCGAGTCCTGGTCGTGAGGTGCACAGGCAGTGCGACTGGTGCGAATGAGTTTGATGTTAGGATTGGTGATTAGGGCCTGTTCTATACCGAGGGACGAAGATGTCAAATCGACATCAAACTCTTGTTTAAGTGTTGATCATCGCGCGGCTGTCTTGCACACAGCTCATCCTTGACACACACGGTCATTCCTGGTGTGCCCAAATCAACCACGTTTACTTATAGTAGATTCCAGAAGCAGCTGGAACGTTTGATAAAATATGCTAAAATGCCGAGTGCAGTTTGAATGATTTTGAAGACAGTGTTTTGCCTGCATGCAAACATCAGCCTCTACATTTATGTTGGACCTTTGCACTATGGCGTTAAGGAATCACGTATAATGCGCTGAAACACGTTTATGGGTTACGTTTACCTTGTTTATGGGTTACACCAGCGAGCCGATTCATCAGACTGCACAGATAGACAGTTTGATTACTTGGAATACAGAGTACAAGCAAATGATGCCAAAAACACCTGATATGGTACAACTAACAGACAGATTGTTCATCCAGTGCAATTTGAGGTGAATGTGTTCAACAAATCTCAGTCCAAATGGTGGCTGGATACCGTTTTTGGGTTCAATGTGTGCTCACATGTCTCAAGCCTTCATACTAGATGTTGTTGAGTGACTTACAGGCTATTTGCCAGAAACACAACGTCGTCTTTTGTATGTTACATTCTAGGCCTAGCAATTTTACAACACATTATCTGTTAAAGAAAGCAGCTGACTTGGAAATTAATCCGAGTGCACACATTTACGCTACACATTCAACTTATCTCACGCACAGTTTGCAACTTACATACGATGCCCATTTCCCGTGGGTTATGGCAGCCAGGGTGTTGGTGAGATTGATGGCCAACGGATACATGTCGTATCCACGCTCACCACCATCCAACTTGTGACCCTCCAACTCGAACCACCGAAGTATAGCTGATTCCTCGTCACCGTGTTCGCAGTCCTTATCTAGCATCTTCAATCGCTGGTGCAACCTCGTCTCCATGGGCTCATCCGAGGACTTCACTCGCACACACAACGTCAGGTCGTACGAGGAATCCGCACAGGTGAGATCCTCCGGAACGCGCACTGGTGGCCACCGGTACACCTGAGGACCACGAGCACATCGGCACGAAGAATTGGTCCCATCGAAATCAGGAATGCGATGACCACATGAACTGCGATAAATGACAGATTTCCGTACTGATTTGTGCCGTAAAATAAAAGGTATAATTACGGAAATTGCAGCACAGATGATGAAACTCGATTTGATCCTTTTTTTTAAAATCATGCTAATCTTGATGAATCTACCTTGATTTTTAGTACACCGTCAACGCATTGCCCTACTTAATATGAAGTGCCTCGTTCAATTAACCAATCACAGTAGGCTGTGTTTTAATAGGCATGTAAGTTTCAATGCTTTATGATTGGTTGAAACACGTTTCAACATTAAGGTGATATCGGAAGCAGGCTCCTG